GATTTTGGATTCTTTAAATTCTTTTAATAGCAATAAAGCTCCAGGATCAGATGGTTTAAATTTGGGCTTCTTCAAAAGATTTTGGCATGTACTTAAGGGAGACATTATGAAGTTTTTTCAAAATTTCTACTTGGGGAAAGATTGGGAACATGGCATTAATCTCGCACATTTATTACTCTCATTCCAAAAATCTCATACATTGGTGACCTTGATGATTATAGACCAATTAGCTTAGTTGGTGGATTATATAAGATCATATCTAAGTGTCTCTCAAGGAGGTTAAGGAGTTGTATTTCTGACATTATTAGTCCTACACAGTTTGCCTTTATCCCTGGCTGACAAATTTTGGATTGCTCTCTAATTGCTAATGAAGGTGTTGATTTTTGGAGGAAAAATGGACTTAAGGGATGTATTTTCAAAGCTGATTTCAAGAAAACATATGATTCGGTAGATTGGGATACTTTATTGCTAGTAATGGAGAAAATGGGATTTTATTCCAAGTGGAGAGGTTGGATTAGAAAATGTGTTACCACAGCTTCTATTTCTGTTTTAGTTAATGGAGTGCCTTCGGAAGAATTTCCAATGGTCAAGGGACTAAGACAGAGATGTTCCTTATCCCCTTTGTTGTTTAATTTTATAGGTGAACTTCTCAACTTATTGATTCGAAAGGCTGTTGCAAAGGGACTGTTTTCTGGAATGGTTATGGGTAGGGCAGAGGGGACTTTTAATGTATCTCATTTATAGTTTGCGGATGATCTCATTATTTTTTGTGGGGCTTCGAAAAAACAGATTCTAAATGTGAAGAGGGTGCTTAGAGTGTTTCAAGTGATTTCGGGTTTACAGCTTAACATGAAGAAAAACAAACTATTTGGTGTTAATTTGAATGAATAAGAAGTTCAGGTTTGGGTAAACACAATCGGTTGTACAGTAGGCAGATTTCCTTCTGATTATCTTGGGCTTCCTTTGGGGGCTACTAGGAATTCTGCAGCTCTATGGAATCCAGTGGTTAATAATTTCTCCAAAAAATTATCTAGGTGTAAAGCTTCTTCTCTTTTATTAGCAGGCAGATTGGTTTTGATCAGATCAATTCTGTGTTCGCTTCCAACATATTACCTATCATTGTTTAAGCTTCATTCTTCGGTTCTTAAAAACCTCAACTCTATTATGTCAAATTTCTTATGGGGAGGGGTAATGAAAAAAGTAAGATTTATTGGGTAAGTTGGCATAATGTGCGCAAATCAAAGTTTGAGGGGTGTCTAGGTGTTTTGAATCTCAATTTGATGAATATAGCACTTTTAGAGAAATGGACATAGAGGTTTGCCAATGAAAGGGAGGCTATTTGGAGGGAATTTATTTGTTCTAAATATAAGCTGGATTCTTCTTTGTTAATGTTTGACAATAAGATCCCACAGAAAGTTTCTTGGATTTGGAGATTTGTGGTATTGAATCATTTCAAAGATGACAATGTAGGCTCAAAGTTTAGAAGCATGTATACTTTCCTAGTTGACGATGGCATTTATATTCAGTTCTGGCAGGACATTTGGGCTATGGATTATCCCCTTCTGATCATTTTTCCTAGACTATTTGCTATGTCTACAAACAAGATGGGTAAGTTATACGAATTTGGGGAGTATAGCTCAGCAGGCTGGATTTGGGATGTGTAGTTTCGAAGGAACTTAAAAGACTGGGAATTAGAGCAGTGGTCGAATTTGATGGCTGTTATTTTTACTTTCTCACTATCTAGGGAAACTTCTGATGGGATGATTTGGAAAGGTAATGGGGATGGAGTGTACACTGTAAAATCAGGTGTTAATCTATGTTCATCAGATTCTTTGGGATCGGAGGAGGTCTATTTTTTGAAGAAGATTATTTGGAGGAGTCAGCTACCTCCTAGGGTGGAGACCTTTATGTGGTAGGTTGTTCTAGGGAAACTGGTTGTTAAGACATAACTTATTAAAAGAGGAATTCAAGGAATCAAAGATGTGTTATGTCCTCTTTGCAAGATGGAGGATGAGTCTCTCTCGTATTTGTTTTTCTCTTGTTCGATGGTGTGGGCTATTTGGAACAAATTTATGAATTTTTGGAGGATTTTTTTTGATAAAATAAGGCCTCATTAAAACCCCCTTTCTTATCCTACATGTTACAAACATAACATGAAGGACATTGGAAGGAGGAAAAGAGTGCCTCTAACTTTTATTAATTAGAACAATAATACACCTCCACACATCTACAACTAACAACTTCTTACAAAATAGAAACCCATAAATCTAAAAACATAACACACCCTGATACTCCCTAAATAAGAACAACCAAGGCATAACACCTTAACCATTACACAAACATAAAAATCAGTGTATACCATCTTTAGCTAATTCATTCGCTTCCCAATTTGCTCATCTCGAGATGAGCCTTGTGATAATACCCTTCCTCTCCACATTAGAAGCTATATCCCTTACCAAAGAATGAAACAAAGTAGTACTAAGGTTCAGATTATTAATCCACTTCAGAGCATTAGAAGAATCCGATTCCAAAATAATCCTCTAATTTGAAAAGAAACCAGCTTCAACTTTCTCAATAAGAATCAACCCTCTCTTGATCGCTAAAAGCTCTACGAGTAAGGGAGGACCTCCCCTTACCTTCTCTGAAAATGACCCAACCATCATCCCTAATCAAGCCACCTATTCCACCCTTATCCCAACCTTTGACCATTGCACCATCTACATTTACTTTTAAGAACCCTTCCGGAGGAGGACTCTACCTAGAAGAAGGAAGATACCTCTTACTCAGGTTGACATGTTGATCTGCTAGTTTTAAATCCCCCATAAAGGAATCGAAATGAAAATGAACATCCTTAACTGATGTTTCAAACCAAGAAACAGTTCTAAAATGTGAAATGAAGAACAACAACGCTGAATCTACCTTCCCATTCTGAAAAATCACCTCATTCCTACATTTCCAAACAGACCACAACACTGCTCTTGAAATAAACTTCCATATATGAGATCGCGGCACTAGGTCATCCCAGGAAATTAAAAAATCCATCAACGAACCATGAACCACAAAGAAAACATTCCACAACTTTAAAAACTTAGCCCACAAAACCCATACCACTTCACAGTGAAGAAAAAAATGAGAGACCGACTTATTGTACTTCCTGCACAAAGAGCAGACAAAGTCTTCAACCCAGTAACTCCTCTCTTCAGCAGTTCCTCTTTCACCGCAACTCTATGTTGAGCAAGTTGTCAAACAAAAGATTCCACACGTGGTGGAGCTACTCCTTTCCAAACATACTTTTCCCAATTACTTTCTAATTGAGCAATACCCTCTCTATCAAAAAAGTTTTCATGCATGATTTTGCTGTAAAACAACCCTCTCTATTTCCCAACCAAATCCAACAATCTTCCTCTACTAGAGATAAAGAAGATCTATTCAACAGAGAGATAATTTACAACCACTGCTCAACCTCCCAATCCACCAATTTTCTTCTCATTTGAATATCCCAAACCCAACCCGAATCATTGTACAATCTGAATTCTACAACCTTACCCTCTTTGTTATTCGAAAGAGAAAATAACCTTGTAAACCTATCTTTGGAGGATTAAGACTTCCTTTAATGCCAATGCTAAAAGTTTTCTTGTAGCTTGGGATGCTTTGAAGTTTAACTCTCTAATATGGACTTTTATTCCAGGGGCTGTTATTTGGAGTACTTGGAAAATCAGGAACCTTATTGTGTTTGAAGGGGGGAAGTTAGATATGGAAGAATTGTTCTTCTTAGCAAGATGTAGGCTTGCTTCTTGGTTCCTTGCTAAGAATAAAGAGGTTTCTATTCATAAGGACTCTCTTATTTCAGATCCTTCTCTAGGGGACTCTTGTTCTCTCCATTCTAATCAGATTATTTCTATTTTCCCTTGGTCTCCTCCTCCTATGGGTTTTGTTAAACTTAATGTCGATGTTGCTACTACAAGATAATGGAAGAAAAGTGGGTTAGAAGGAGTTTTGAAGGATTCCTCGGGATTTATTTTTGGCTCTTTCAAGGATTCTGCTAGTCCGGGGCCTCCGACATTTATGGAGCTAAAAGCTATTCAAAAGGGTTTGTTATTCTACACTTATTTTCGAGAGCAGATCAAGGAGCGCTTGATTATTAAAAGTGACAACAAGGTGGCAGTGGATTGGGTTAGGGAGGTTGAATTATGTCCGGATGTTTATGCTTATATTATTAAAGACATTGTTTATAGACTTAATGTATTTGAAGGTGTTATTAGATGGGTTAATAGGGCAACCAATCTAGAGGCTAATGCCTTAGGTAAAGAAGGAATAGGCTGAATTTGTGTTGTTGTTTCTGGTTGTTTAGGATTAATTTCTGTTCCTAGGTTTCTGTTTGAGGTTTTCTAGACTGTACCTTATGTAATTTTTTTTGTTGAATAAAATCCTAAGGCGCTCTTTCCTCATTCCGCTGATTAAGAAGCTTCACTACAAGCTCCATTAATCATGAAGGGGGTTTTTAGCGAGGCCTGAATTACTTATAAAAAAATAACAGAATATACTAGTTGAAGAAGAATGCAATATTCATTTAACAGTCAATGAAAAGGAACTGTAAGCACATCCGCAATTCTAGATTACAAAATCTGAGATGAATAAAATTAATGAATTCCAACAAGGTTGAAGCATTGTTATGATAAAATGAATTCCAAACTCAGCAATCTGGCAACATTTAACAGGAGAAAAGGAAAATATAAAGGCAGATCATGCGGTCAATAGTATATATCGAAAAGGTGACATAAATAGAAGTTATGGTATAAGCCATTTGCTCAAATTCCTCATTTGTGCAAAAAATCAAATAAAACATTATCCAAGCACAAGACACTTCTTTAAAATTGGAAAATTATATTGTAACAATATATACATACAAATTTTATATAAATTAAATTTTTACAGAAGAATTTTATCCTCAAGGAACTTTCTGCTGTTACAAAATACAATGAAAATCAGCCAAGTAATGAAAATAAGGTTGATACCAGAAGGAAGTAAAAAAGAAGAAAGAAATAAAAAATCAACTTTGATAAAATCCTCTTTTAGAATCTAACTAAAAAGGTTGAAAATAAAAATCAGAACCTAAAGTGAGAAAAACCTCCAAATCATGCAAGTACAAGGATAAGAAAATAATACCATAGCTCCTCGACATTGTCTTGTAATGGAGTTCCAGTAATTAGCAACTTGTTCTTTGTGTTAAATTCCTGGGCAAACAGAAACACATCATCCAATAAAAAACATAGTAACAAACCAATAAAATTTGATCCAAAAAACGGGAAAAAATACAATTATGCAAGGCAGAAGTGACAGGATAAGGCATACTGAAAGTGTGGTGTACAACTGTGCCTCACTATTTGTTATGAACGGAGGAGAATAGAAAAGGAAAAATCAAAGGAATGAAGGTTTTAGAAGAAGAAAAGCAGAGATTTCAGAAATCAGAATTTCATTCATTCATCAGGTATCTTTCTCATTCCTTAGTACACAGTTTTTATTTGATTACAATATACTATAGCAAATAGGAAGAGGACAGTTGTATAACTAATTTTCTAATAAACTCCTTGCAGCTGGATATTTTACTCTTTTGGGCTATTAACTGGATCCACGTCTGAGCCCATCTCCTCTGCCCAACTCTTCTTCTGCTGCAACTCCAGGTAATTTCCTTCAGCCCTTTCATTAGAGATTGAAATCCCTAATTCCCTAATCTCTTTTCTCTCAATCCCTAATTCCTCATCCATTTCCCCCAATTCACTCGCTTCAATTCTAATCTCCTCGTCCTAGTCTTCTCTTGCAACCGTGACAATACCCCCTCCATTAGCAGATCCTTGTCCCCAAGGATCAAATTCAGGAAACTGGGCACGCAAGACTGTATAATCTTCCCAGGTATCGTTTTCAGCACTTAAATTCGTACAACGAACCAATAATTGAGTAATAGCAAAGTTATCTCGTTTGACAATTCTTTTTCTTAAAATTTTCGCAGGAAATACTTTGAGTTGTTCATCATCTATTACCTGAGGAGGGTCTGATGTAGCCACTGTCTTCTCTCCCAGTTTCCGCTTCAAGACACTGACATGGAAAACAAGGTGTATTTGAGCAGTTTCTGGTAAGTCCAATTTATAAGCAACCTCACCAATCTTTTCGAGAATTTTGTAAGGGCCATAAAAATGGGCTACTAACTTCAAATTTTTTCTGATTGACAGGGAAGTCTGCCAATATGGTTGCAGTTTCAGGTACACCTCTTCTCCCACATTAAATGTTCTTTTACTGCGATTTTTATCAGCTTGCTATTTCATACGGTTCTAGGCTTGCTGTAACTGGTCTCTAACAATTTGCCTGATCTGCTCCCTGTCTTGTAATAACGTCTGAACACTGTTAACATTAAATTCAGAACACCATAACATTGTAGGAGGTTTATATCCATAGAGTGCCTCAAAAGGGGTAATTTTAAGTGTTGTATGATAATTTGTATTATACCACCATTCAGCATGAGGTAACCATCTTGCCCATTGAGTAGGTTTTAGGAAACACAAACCCCTTAAGTACTACTCAAGACATTGATTCACTCTCTCAGTTTGACCATCCGTCTTAGGATGATAAGTTATGCTAAAGAGTGTGTTGGTTCCCAACTGCTTCATTAATTCTTTCCAAAAAAGACTAGTGAAGGTCTTGTCACAATCTGAAATGACAATCTTAGGCTGACCATGAAGCTTATAAACTTGATCTAAATATAATTTAGCTACTTCCATAACAATGTAGGGATGAGAAAGTGCTAAAAAAATGAGCATATTTAGTCAGTTTATCCACTACTACTAAAATGCAATTCTTATGCAAAGAATTAGGTAAACCTCCAATAAAATCCATAGTTATTACCTCCCATGCTTGATGAGAAATTGGAATTGGTTGTAGCAGCCCAGGTTTAGCCACATGCTCCACCTTAGTGCGTTGGCAGACTTTACATTTCTGTGCATAATTAGAGACCATACTTTTAAGTTTAGGCCAATAAAAATAAGATTTCACCCGCTGGTATGTAGCCTGAATACCCGAATGCCCTCCATGAGGAGAATCATGTAAAATATATAGTATCTTCAATCGTAAATCACTGAACTGTCCCACATAAACTCTATTTTTGTAACGCAACACCCCTTTTGAATACTTCCAATTTGGAACACTAGCAGTGTTAATAGTTACTGCTCGAATGTATTCTTTAGCATCAACATCATTTTCATAGCTTTGTTCAATGTCCTTAACCCAAGCCGGAATTATAATTATGGCACCCATCTTTGACACTCACCCACCTGCACAAATTGTCTTGACAAAGCATCAGCCACAACATTATTACGCCCTTTTCGATATTGAATTGTGTAGTCCAAACCCAACAATTTAGTCAATCCTTTTTTCTGAATTGTTATCGTGAGTTTCTGCTCTAACAAATACTTCAAAGGCTCGTGGTCTGTTTTAATGATAAACGGACCAAACTCAAGATAATGTCGCCATTTCAAAACTGCCAAAAGAATAGCTAAATATTTCTTCTCATAGATAGAAAGGTCCAAGTTTTTAGGGCTTAAAGCTTTGCTAAGATAGGCCAAATGACGACCTCCTTGGGGAAAAACAGCCCCAATACCTTTTGAGCTTGCATCGATTTCTAAACAAAATTCTTTAGTGAAATCAGGAAGATCCAAAACTGGAGCCTTACACATTACTTCCTTCAATTGATTAAAGGATGTCAATGCTGTAGGAGTCCATGTAAAACCTTCCTTTTTTAACATCATTGTAAATGGTCTACTAATTGCACCATAGCTTTTGATGAACCTTCTATAATAGCCTGTTAGCCCCAAAAATCCCCGAAGAGATTTTAAGTTTTGAGGAATTGGCCAATTTTTCATAGCAGTAATTTTTGATGGATCAGTGGAAACCCCTTGAGCATTAATAATATGGCCTAAATATTTCACTTGTGGTTGGCCAAAGTAACATTTACTCCTCTTAGCATATAGCTGATGTTGTGTCAATATTTCCAAAACTTTTCTCAAGTGTAGTGTTGTACACTAATATATCATCAAAAAATACCAGAACAAACTTTCACAAATAGGGAGTGAACAGATCATTCATAAGAGATTGAAATGTAGCAGGTGCATTAGTAAGACCAAAGGGCATTACCTTGAATTCAAAATGTCCATGATGAGTGCGAAAGGCAGTTTTGTAGATGTCTGTAGGCTGAATTCGAATATGCCAGTAGCCAGACCTTAAGTCCAACTTAGAAAAATAGGATGCTCCATGTAATTCATCTAATAAGTCCTCCACCACTGGTATTGGAAACTTATTTTTTACTGTCTGGTTGTTTAATTGTCTATAATCGACGCAAAATCTCCAATAACCATCCTTTTTCTTAACAAGTAAGCAAGATGAGGCAAAAGGGCTCTTGCTTGCTTGAATGACAGAAGCTGCTAGCATATCAGAAATTTGTCTTTCCACCTCTGCTTTTTGATGATGTGGAAATCTGTAAGGCTGCAAATTGACCGGGGCTGCACCCGGTTTAAGTGTAATGGAATGGTCATGTACTCGTTTAGGAGGTAATCCTTTAGGTTCATCAAAAACTCCTGCAAATTCTACTAATAATGGTTGTAGCTCATGAGGTACCTGCTGTTCATCAGTTTCCATAGTTAGGAAATAAATTTATTCCAATAAATCTGGATCCTTGGCAGTAATCTTTTGCATTTTGTCATTAGAAACTGTTTTCATAAGGAATGGTGCTTGATGTCCTTGAATAGAGAGTTGTTGTCCCTCCTTCTCAAAAGTAATAGTCATGGCATTAAAATCCATAAGGATTGGACTATATTTGTGCATCCAATCAACTCCAAGAACCATATCCTAGATTAAGTACCCAAAAATCATGAAAAAACTGATGGCCTTGCATAATCCAACATAACTGATTGCTTTTAGCTGAACTGAATAATTTCTCACCATTAGCAACTGTAATGGCTAGTGGTTGAGTTGAAACTAACTCAGTACCAGCTTTAGCCCACTTAGGAGTGATAAAGTTGTGTGTGCTGCCACTGTCAATAAGAATATTGAGAGGTTTGCCCTTGACCAAGCCTTGAATTCTAATTGTAGTATATCCAATGCTACCTGTGAGAGCATTGACTGAAATTTCCAGATTCTCATCTTTATCATTTGAATCTCCCAGAACCTCATCTGTTATGACTACGTCTTCCTGGTTATCCACTTCCTCCATAGCATTCAATTGTCTTAACTTGCATTGGTGGTCTGGTTGAAATCGTTCACCACATTTGTAACACAAATTATTCAATCTGCAATACTCCAACAAATTGTTCTTGTTAGGAGGATTTGGTAGAACTTTCTGTGTTGTTGTAATAGTAGCATGTTTGTTAAAATATGTTTGGGTGGGATAGGGTGGGAATCTTGAATTTTATTTCTGTCTTTTGCTTTCAAACTCCATTGAAATCTCATATAATTTCGCCTACCTGCAAGTTTCAGTGACTTCTTTAGGGTTAAGAGCTTTGACCCTATATTTCAACTCCTCCTTCAGTCCACTTATGAAAATGGACACAAAAAATTCCTCCCCCAAGGTTGGGTTCTGCATTAGAATGAAAGGTTTCAGCTCTTCAAACCTCACTTGGTATTCTTCCACTGTTCCTTTTTGAATTAGCTTACTAAATTCCTCTATGAAATATGCATACTGCATATCACCAAATCGATTACATAAGTCTGCTTCAAACTCATGCCAATGTACTCGATTTTTTTATATCACCAAATCGATTACATAAGTCTGCATATCACCAGTGTTTCCTACTTCCCCTCCCTAAACCATTTTGGCCCCATTATTATCCTTTGTTTGATTTTCCATCCTCATATTTGATTGATCCATTTGTGACTCATAGGGTTTAGATTTGAGGATACATGGTTCATCCATATTGTACGAGAATCTGGACTTATCATTAATCACTGTCGCCATCACCGGTTTCTTTCCATCAACCTTAGTTGGAGTAGGCGTAGCAATCTGCTCCTTTTCTGAGCTTGCCATGTCTTGCTCATCGTTCCTCCCCGTTAATATTCGTAGGACTTGTTCTATATAGGCTTGATTGGTGTTCATCTTCGATTCCAGATTATTTAGACGGTTTTTTTGCTCCTCCCACCATTTTGGAGGTTTTGTTTCATCATTGACATTTTCTACCCTTTTAGATAAATCTTCAATCTGCTGCTGAATGGTAGTAAGTTCAGCCGAATTTGTCATAGCTTGATTCTTTTTCTATTTTCCCAGTTTGCTAATGCCAGGAAATTAGGCTTATATACCAATTGTTATGAATCGAGGAGAATAGAAAAGGAAAAATCGAAGGAATAAAGGTTTTAGAAGAAGAAAAGAAGAGATTTCAGAAATCATAATTTCATTCATTCATCAGGTATCTTTATCATTCCTTAGTACATAGTTTTTATTTGATTACAATGTACTATAGCAAATAGGAAGAGGACAGTTGTATAACTAATTCTCTAACAAACTCCTTGCAGCTGGATATTTTCCTCCTTTGGGCTATTAACTGGATCCACGTCTAAGCCCATCTTCTCTGCCCAACTCTTCTTCTGCTGTAACTCTAGGTAATTTCCTTCAGCCCTCTCATTAGAGATTGAAATCCCTATTTCCCTTATCTCTTTTCTCTAAATCCCTAATTCCTCATCCATTTCCCCCAATTCCCTCACTTCAATTCTAATCTCCTCGTTCTGGTCTTCTCTTGCAACCGTGACACTATTCTTCAACCTATGAGCTTCATCAACCATCAAATAGTTCCATCTTATCTTAGACAGTACCACCTTATCCTTCAGAACTACTTCATATGTAGTCAGCAGTGTGTTAAATTTTATAGGTCTGCCAATTTGCTTGTCATTGTAAAATTCATGTTGCTGACAAACCTGCCAACAAAAGAAGAAAAGAAAACAGTAACAATTGAGGTGAGGTCAACGGGGTAAGGTTAAAATTATTTGAAACTACCACCCACATTATATAAGATACACAAGTAATCAGTAACACAAGTTCTAACAGAAAACTATAACATCAACAAGCACATAAGATTAAAAAGTGCTACACACCACAACAAATATATAGACAAAGACAAAGTGGTAATATACAAAATATATATTGAAGTGACTGAATAATGCAACTTTCAAACCTACTCGAATAAAAAGAGCACATACAAAAGAAGAACATGACTTACCTCTCGGCTTGCACGAGTACCAACGTAGACAATAATATTCATATCAGGAAGCCACTTTCTAAATTCTTTAGCCCAGTTTGACAAGGTGGATAAAGGTACAACCACAAGAAACGGGCATGGTATTTGTTGAGCATTCTGAAAAAAATAAATATATCAATGAAAACATTGTAAACCTAAAAATCATAAATGATGGCTATTCTACAAATGGAGTAATGATTTAGAGTTTAGAGAGCAAAACATCCTGAAAAATACTTTAAGGGGTAACTTAGTACAAATGGTATAGTTAAGGGGGCAATAGAACATTTAAACCTAAATTATATGATTATTTTTACTTTGATCATCAAATTAAAAAAATAAAAAAATAGATTTATTTAATTATTAAACTACTATTGTATCATCCCAAAAATCAAATTAGTGACTAAAATGTAAGTTTTTGAAATTTTATGTCTGTATTCAAAAAATTTAAAAATTCAGGGACAATTGTAATTTCTTTGGGTATGACTAATTGGAAAAGAAGGAAAGATGAAAGGGCAAAATGGTTATTTGATGATAAATGAATTAAAAATTCATTTGATGGTCTTTATATCCACGTGGAGATAAAAAGAAAGGGTAAAAGAAAAATCTGGAGACTTGGGTGGCTTCCTTTTTCTTTCCTCCCGTAAGCTCCATAGCAAAGGTATGGATTTATCTAATGGGTTATTTTTTGCATTTTATGAATGATTTTGATTCTTTGAGTGTTCAGAAAGCTTAAGGAAAAATAAAGGTTGCTTAAAACTCAAAGAGGGATGAGTTATGAGAGATTAAGTAAAATGAGTTTTTAAGTGAATTGCTGGAAAAGGAGTAAATGAATTTAGAAGTCATATTTGACTTGTCAAGGGTCTAATTAAGAAGTTAAAATTAATAGAAGTGAATTCAGAACATGTTGAAAATTTAGTAAGATTCTTGGTTTCAATAATTATAGTGAGATATTGAAGATGATAATGAGTTATATGGATATTAGATGATATGATTAAGTATAGTTGAGGTTAATAGTATGAAAGGAGTTCAAAATGAGAGGTTTAAGTAAGCTTTGGTAAATTTTTGGGTTAAAGAAGGGTGTTCCGGGCATGGGGTATCGGTATTGTTCATCCAGTATCGACACTTCAAAGCAAAATGAGTAGAAATTAAACTTGGGGTGTTGATACTGAAGGAACAATATCGATACCATATGATAAAATTGGATGAAATCTTTAAGAAGTATTGATACCTAAATGGTGGTATCAGTACTGGTTAAAAGGGTATCGATACCAAGTGTTTAGTATCGATACCATTATCGAGTTATTAAAGCAGAATGTCAAAATGGTATCGGTACCTATGGGGGATATCGATACCATAAGAGGGTAGTATCGGTACTATAGTAAGAGTATCGATACTATTAGGCTTAAAATGCTAAATTAAGTGGTTCTTTCAGTATACGTTATATAGATTGGTTATAAGTGATTTGAACTTCGATATTCATATAAGTAGTATATTCGTGTAGATATCGATCGAGGACAAGTTCAAGACGATTCGAAACTATAAGATTGTGTAAAAGTCATTAGTGGTTGAATTGGCTAGTGAGGCCAGGTAAGTGCATAACATTATGTATATGATATGCCTTGGAAATAAGACTTGCAATGAGTCTAATTTCCATATTATGGTACATGAATATGAGTGTATGTGTTATATGTTATTGTGTGAATTACATGTTTTACTATGTGTGTTAAATGAGGTATGTGAATACAGGTCGGTGTGTTAATATATGTTAAATGATATAATGAAATTATGTAATGATATGAATATGGATTATAAGCTATATAATTAAAAGAACAAGATATGAGTTATATAATATGATAATATGATAAAAATGAGTTCATGAGAAATGATATGAGGTAGATAAGCATGTGTAAAGGTTATATAAACAATAGGAACATGAGTTGGGCAAGTACATGGTTGTGTGATTATTTATGTGAACTAGTATATTATAATTATATGATTAAATAAGAAGTGATATAAGCTAAGTAAGATTAACCTATAGGATGATATGAAAATAATATATCAACTAGGAGAATTGAACATAAGTGATGATACGAACATATAAGATAAGCTATATGGGGAAGATTCATGTGCTTAAATAAAATTATGACACATGGGTTATATGATAAAGATCTATGAAGCCATATGATAAGGTTATAGGAGTCATATGAAATTGAACTAAGTAAATAGATTAAATTAGTATATAAATGAAATAATAGAAGTGATATATGTTTATAAGTTATGCCATAGGTTACGTGATCTATGTGAATATAAGAGAATGAAGTATGAGCTATATGATATGATATAAGTTATTATATACATATATGATATATGTTATTAAACAGGACATATGTGATTATATGAGAAATTCTAGGAGATATATAAGTACAAATATATATATATATATATACGATGATTTAAGTGACCATATGAGATTATGTGCCTATGTAAAAACATGTGAAAGTGAAATAAGTTCAATGATATTTATTTATGTGATTATGTGATGAAATGGTTGACTATATGAACATGTGATTATGTGATGAAATGGTTGACTATATGAACATGTGAATATATGTCTATGAGAAGACATAAGGATAAGATATAAGCAATGTGTCAAGGAATGTGAAATGACATGAAAAGTTAATATAATTTATGTGAAAGTTGTAACACCCCTAACCCGTATCCGACCCGGATACGAGTCCGATATGTCACATTAAACTTTCAAATCATATTCTTGTACAAAATAACTGAAAACTCAAATTTTCATTAAAATAATTGAATATTTTACATTAATTAAAATACAATCAGATTTACTAAACATATCAGAGCATATTCTATTTAAACATCTTAGTACATGCCAACTGCATTTAATATAACAAAATACATATGATTCAAATCTCTTTTCTGATATGATTTTCGGGAAGGAGAGGCTAACATGTCTTTCTCCTCTTTGCTCCTTAATCTTCTCAAAACCTACGTGTGAAACACCCACACGCTAAGTCTATGACTTAGTGAGGCATATAAATGAATAATGGAAACTCTAACTCCTAACAATGCATGAACACTTTATAATATCATATCATACAGAATCACATAATAATTCATATAACAATTGCATACTTATATATATATATATATATATATATTATCATTATCATTATCATTATTCACATTTTTATTGTTATCAGTATTATTTTCATTCATTCATTTAATCATGTGATATTGTCCTTAATACTCATACACATCATGTCATATCATACATTTCACCAAGCAAATCACATAGTATCATACAAGCTTTCTTTTTAATGACCCATGTACACTTGTGAGAACAAAAGATATGCGAGTACATTGAGGTTGTGCACCTATGCTGTCACCACAACTCGTATAATTCCCACTAGGGGCACGTAGAATTTGTCCCGAATGACCGCATAAAAATGTACTGAATGACCACATATAACACATATGTCCCGAAGGACCACTCCTTAAGAACCATATGCATATTCCAATGGACCAAATAAGTGTACCAAAGTACTGCATATATATCCCAAAGGACCTCGTAGAACCCTCAACTTTTGGCATGCCAACTATACCTCTAGCTCTCATTTCATATAACATGAGCATTAATATTATTTTTATCACATATTGATCTATTTATGTCACATAGCTCATATCATGCTTTCATGTAATCACATATCTCTTTTCACCTGCTTTATATCTTGTACTCATGTAATCATATCACTTATTTTCACATAGCTCATAGTCACGTGGCTTATCTCAAAGACATATATATTCACATACTTTATAATTACATAGTTTACTCCATTTTACACATAATCACATGGCTTATTATCACATAACATGAATACATACAAATCATATAACATATACAATAACATATATCACATATACTCATATAAACACATGCTTATACTTATGAATTCATGCATTCTAATATAGGAAATAGACTCGTCGCAAGTCTTATTTCCTCTAAACATCATATACTAACTAGTATGCACTCATCTGGCCTCACTAGTCAATACTGATATTTTATTTCTTCCTTGTTCGATCTTATTTCGTTGATTCATCAAATACTCGCTTCCGATTAATATCAACACAATCATACATTTGATATGCATATCATAATTCTATATGTTATAATTTGATCCTTAATAATTCAAGCTAATCGAAATTCTTAATACAATTTCCACTTTGAGTAGTATCGGTACCCCCATGTATGGTACCGATACTTTCCTAGCTATGGTATCGATACCAAGCTTGGGTATCGATACCCTTTTTACATTCTAAATCCTTATTTCAAAAATGGGTATCAATACTGACCTTATGGTATCAATACTCTTGGTATCAATACTACATTCCTAGGTATTGATACCCCATGAACAATTTATAAATTTATGCCTTCTGGTATCGATACTCATTCAACCAGTATCGATACACATACCTTGATAATCATTTATTTTTCTCTTTGAAGTATCGGTACTGAATGAACAGTACCAATACCCCTAGCCCATAATATACTTCTTTAACCAGAAAATCTTACCAAACTCACTTAATTCTTCAACCATAACCTCCTTTTAACCCTTTAAGCTTAACTACACTTATTCTAATCAACTTGGATCACTTTAATTCATCCTAATATCTTATATCCCACATACACATTTGAATTCAATAATCAAGCCAATAAATTAATATGTTCCAATTTCATTTCTAACACTTTGAATTTCTTATTTCAACTTATGACAAGTCAAATTAAACTTCAAAATCCATTAACTCCTTCTATTTCAATAATTCACTTTAAAACACTTTTTTCTTAATCTCTCATAACTTGAAATTCTTTAAGCTTTAAGCCACTTAAAACTTCTTGTAAGCTTTCTTATCACTCTAAGAATAAAAAAACCTTCAGATTAAAGAAACACTCAAGTTAAATCCAACTCGCCTTTAAAATGAGCTCACAGTGGAAAGGAGGAAGAAGAAGAAGCAAATTTTCCAGACTTCTCTTTTATTTTCTCTCATTTCCACGTGATTTTCCTCCATAAAGGGAAAATAAAAATATTTCTTATCAAATGA